GATGGAATCTGGTGGCCACAACAAATGAATTGGTCATTGTCAAGTTTGTACTGTTTTCTTTTATGGTATATTGTGTGTTGTGTGTGTGTGTGTGTGTGTGTGTGTGTGTGTGTGTGTGTGTGTGTGTGTGTGTGTGTGTGTGTGTGTGTGTATGTTGTTGTGTGATAAACCATTGTCCTGCTTTCCTCCCAGTGCATGCTGGGATACATTCCAGTACTTCAAACTTGTTTGTTTGAATTTTGAATGTTTGATGTGATGAAAGAAAGTTTTTTACATTTCATCCAGAATCACAAAGTTTGAATGTAGAAGTCACATAAATGTAAAACTAATAAAATTCACCCTGAAATTACAGAGAAGATCTTTAAATTGTTCGTATGGACATTAACCTTTAAAATAACAAGCTACATTTTTAATTACAGATAATAACTGTCATTTTACACAGATTTGTATGTAATTTAAGAAAGCTGAAAAAATACAGTATAAATAATACAGTAATTTGTCTTTGCAAAAATGGGAAATAAATGTAACTCATTATTATTGGCATAATGCTTAAAATACAAGTTTGGCTGTTAATTCACATCATTTCTGTCATTTTACAGACTTTTGTTGTTATTTTCCATAAAATTAGGATTTTTTTTTACAGTGTAGATGCAGGTGTGAGTTCAGACGTCACAGCATCTTTCTTTTGTTAGTTGTGATTGAGCAGCTGCTGTTGGCTGAAGTTTCTGTGTTTAAAGCTTAAGTCTTTGTTGTTGTTTGACAGGTGTTTCAGCTTTTTGTGTCATTTACTGATGTTTCAGCTCCAACTCCTTTTCCTCAAATTAAACATTTCCTATGTAATTTCAGAGACAGATGCAGAAAGTGAAATCTCCAGGTTTCCAAACAGAAACAGCAGCTCCATATTTTCATAATGTTTACAGCTCCTACAACACGCCCTCTTCTTCTTCTGTTATTGTTTATAAATCTGAGTCTTCACCTGCACCGCCAAACAGAGAAGAAGAAGGGTGGGGGTGGGGGTGGGGGCTGTGTTTGTTTCTATGTTTGTAAAATTTGTCTCTCCCACTCATTTCCTTCTTCTTCTTCTTCTCTTATTCGGGAATGCAGGATGTGGTTTTCATTACAACAAGGGGTTTCATTACAACTACACACAGATACAGACACACAGAACTGACTCAAACAAACACCTTTACACACTGGAAGTTAACTGACACACACACGTATTCACAAAGACGTGTGCAAATGTAGACAGCGCAAACACATGCATTCAAACACTGAAAAGAACCTACACACACACACTCACACTCTCACACACACACACACACACACACACACACACACTCCACATATACTAGTGTGTATTTAATGTGTATTCTGTATTATGCAAATGTGCAGCACAGACTGAACATTGGCACAAAAGCAACCAAACCAAACTGAGCACATACACAAACACACAGACACACACACACACACACACATACAGACACACACACACGGACACACACGCACACACACACACACACACACACACACACGCACACACACACACACACACAGACACACACACACACACACACACACACACACATATGAGGAGGAAGATGGAAAAGAAGAAAATGGAAATGAGAGAGCTGCTGAATGATTGAACTGCAGCTGAACTGGGATGAATCTCTGCAGGTTTATTTTTATCATCATGTCGATGACATTTGTTTATTGTCATTATTTCCTGTTAATACTTTTAACGCCTTGAACTCACTCGAACCTACAATTTCATACCTGACATGAGACAGCCTCTGTTCTCCAACCTGCTGTTGAAGATGAATAATAACAAAAATATAATCTCGACTCAGGTGTAAATATTCCGCTTCTCTGCTCGATGCCTATAAAAAATGCTAACAGGCTACAGGTTAGCTCATGACGTCGTGTTGCTGTGGTTTGATATGAGGTGTACAAGGAAATCAACATGAATGAAGATTGAAGCTGCAACATTCCTTCTAGATTGTAGCATCTGTTAATGCTAATGTTAATGCTAATGTTGGCTATGTAGCGATAGCAAAAACGGACATATAGCTCCTTTAAAGTAACATTAAAGTAAACAAATCCTTTTTTTCATATATAATAGTCAACATTAATGTGTCATTGGAATAGTTAATATTGGTTGATACATTAATAAAATTGTCACTTTGTGGGATTTTGGATTGTCCTTTAAAGAGGCTGTTTGTAAGTTTTCTCTGCAGCTGAACCTGGTTTCTGATCAGGAGCAGGTGGAAGTGATGGTCACATGACAAGAGCTTCAGCCATCGTTGTGTTTATAATAAAACAGGTTATAATACATCCTCTGAGCAGCTACATCCTCAGGACAGACTGGAGGCTACAGTGAGTCACTATCAGGGGATAGCTAGTTAGCATGCTAGCTTCAGTAGAAGAACGGACGTGACAGAGACAAGAGTTAACATTGGTGGTCCTTTCCACCTCTGGAGACAGATGTTGGTGAGTAAAGGACTGAAGTTAGACTGGGTTGGTAAGTTAACAGCTGCTAATGCTAATGGTAGTTGTAGCAAAGGTACAACTTACAAATAGCTCCTTTAATACAAGTTAAAGTGATGGACTTTAATGATGCAAATATCATTATTTTACTGTTAATCAACAGGATCTTGTACATGGTTAAAAGGTAAATATCTCAGGATTTGTGGTTTCTGTGGTGTAAGGGCTTTAAAACTGTTTCTAAGACATAACCTGAATCAATAATATATTTCAATATGTTGTATTATTCATCTTTCTGCTCAGTGGTGATGAGTAACAGGATCAATCCATCTATCTATCTATCTATCGATCTATCGATCTATCTATCTATCTATCTATCTATCTATCTATCTATCTATCGATCTATCGATCTATCGATCTATCTATCTATCTATCTATCTATCGATCTATCTATCTATCTATCTATCTATCGATCTATCTATCTATCTATCTATCTATCTATCTAATAAAACAAAATAGTTTCTTTTTTAGGGTTTAATCTCTTTTCGTTTTTTTGCTGTGAAATAAAACCTGAGTCTGTTTCTGTTGTGCTGAAAAGTTCACAAGAAATTCCTTTTTTCAAAACCAAAAGTTCCAAGTAAAAGTGAATTTTAGGCCATCTGGGAAATGTTCTGTATCTTTGTGTGTGTGTGTGTGTGTGTGTGTGTGTGTGTGTGTGTGTGTGTGTGTGTGTGTGTGTCCTTGGCCGTCCCTCCCCAGGGCAAACTGCCAGTCACACCTCCAGCCAGGAATCAGTGTGGGCTGACTCTCTCTTTCACACACACACACACACACACACACACACACACACACACACACACACACACACACACACACACACACTTAAAACATACAAAAGACTGAAAGAGAGATTTTCCCAGATGAGGCTCATTCCTGTCACCTTTCCAGAGAAACCCTCCCTCTGTGTGTGTATGTGTGTGTGTGTGTATGTGTGTGTGTGTGTGTGTGTGTGTGCGTGTGTGTGTGTACTCCCAGGATACGGGTGTTGTTCTGCGCCCACACACTGAGACATTTCACAGCTGTGGTCAACAGTTTCTGGCGAAGAGTGTGTGAAGCAAACGTCCACTGTGAACCAAAGTCTTTGTCTGATGACATCACTGACTCCTCCCCCTCCTGGAAACAGTCATGTGACTCCGTCCAACTCAAAACAAACAATAGATCTAAATGTAGCTTCTGATGATGTGGAGCTGTTGTTATTTAACCTCTTCATCATCATTATCGTCACCTCAGTCTAAACTGTTTTTATTTTACAGTGGATCTCAGATGAATCAATAAGTATTTTATTGATTCCAGCTGATCGTTAACTGAAGGTGCAGCTGAAGAAATCAAGAACATGGCGAACAGGTGAGAAACAGCTGAGCTTCACATCACTACAGCAAACAGTGTTAGGTTGTAAATACAGATCCATCAGTGCTCTTTATGAGCCCCGCCTTTATGGGCCCCCCTGCAGGTGCACCTGCACCTGTTGGAGGCGGAGCTTCTTGTAACTTCTGAAATGAGAAATCTGATGGGTCATCAGAAGTTGTTATTGTGTACCACTCACTTCATTGACTCTTAGTTTTTGTGACTAACACACCTGAAACAAGATGAACAAACACGTCTGAAATCAGAATTTAATGATTTAATCTTTAACATTTTATCTTTATTATAATTCTTTTATGTAACATTCATGTGAGAAATAATTCAGATGTCACACACTGTAAATGTAGAGGAGTCAGTAAAGTACCAGGAGTAAATGTCCTTTAACCGTCGCTCAAAGGCACACCAGCAGTAACGAGGCAACAATGTCTGTGAGACAGGAAGTCGTGTGTTGAACACTGAGTACGGTCAAACTGTCAACATCAGTGTGTGACCAGCACCCCCTGCTGTCCACCCATGAAACTGCAGCTGTTTGATTTCAAATCTCCAGCTCCACGTGGTGACTCGTTATTTTTACTGATCTATTCATAACATTAGATCCATTCACTGAATGACATCAGACACATTACCACAGTTCTGACCAGTCTACCCGTCCCTGCTGCTGAGAAGCCCCGCCCACTGTAGCATGAAGCTGCCCCACCTGACGAACAGCTCCACAGCAGTCTGATGGTTCCAGACTCACAGCTTCAGAAATTTTATATTCTTGTCCTGTTCACACACAGGTACAACGTGACTTGATTTACTCCGTCCAAAAATTCACATTTCCTCAGGTGAACTCACATCACAGGAGAATTAAAACAGGAAGCACCTGAACGCAATGCTTCTGAAAACTGATGTCAGCTTTTAGATTGTTAATACATTATGTATCATTCAGAGCAGATCAACGGGTAAAAATAGCAGTTTTGTCAATTTAAAATTAAATCTGTTTTTTCCTTTATTTTATTGTTATTTATTTTCCTGCTTTGGGACTACGAGGCCGGTGTGCAGTTATTTTAAATATTTCACAAATGTAACATTCAGAAACTCATGAACAGAGAGAATTCAGTTAATTCTAGTTTTATTAAATATCTCAGAGCTAAAGAATCAGACAGTGTGTTTACATGTGTTTGTTTGTGCACGTATCATGGAGCCTCTTCATGTGTGTTCACAGTTCAAGTCCTGTCGTCAAGTGTGGACCTCGTGTAGTCTCTCGACCACAGCAGACGCCACCTTCCTGTACGCCTCCGCCTGCAGACAGACAGACAGACAGACAGACAGACAGACAGACAGACAGACAGACAGACAGACAGACAGACAGACACACACACACACACACACACACACACACACACACACACAGAAATCGTTTCCCATGTATTTGAAAAGCACTTGATATAAAAAGTTTATAATTCTTATCATATTATAGAATAGAACAGAATAGAACAGAACAGAATAGAACGGAACATAATAGAATAGAACAGAATAGAACATAATAGAATAGAACAGAATAGAGACCTCTGGGCTGTCTGGAGAGGAGACGACCACTGGCCGTCCTCTGTCTGACATCTCTCTGATGTTCAGGTGAAGAGGAACGTCACCTGGAGGACACAGAGATTATTGAAGATCATTAAAGATCAGAGTCACTTTGTTTGTTGACATTTTTGCACAAGCAGGAAAATCAGCTGCAGAGTACGTAAGACATCTCAAGTCTGGTTCTGGTTCTGTTTCTGGTCCTGGTTCTGGTCCTGGTTCTGGTAATGCTCCTACCTAAGAAGTTGACTCCCAGAGTGTCAGCGAGCTGTCGGGCCCCGTCAGAGCCAAAAATGTGAGTCTGGTGGTGACAGTTGGGACACTGGAAGACGCTCATGTTCTGGACCAGACCGAGAACCTGAGGAAAAAACCCAACAGTCTCATCCCATCAGTAAGTAATCAATAAATGATATTAACACTCTATACTAACACACACACACACACACACACACACACACACACACACAAAGATTACCGGCACATGGACTTTTTTGAACATCTCGGCTCCTCGGCGAGCGTCCAGCAGAGCGATGTCCTGCGGCGTCGACACAATCACGGCACCTCCACCACAAAACAGAGATCACATGACTTTGACATTAACCTGAGAACGACTTGTGATTCACTTTTCTCCTACAGCCCCACGACCCACGCTGGGAACACTCACACACACAGGACCAGTGCAAAGATCTGGATCTGTGTGTGTGTGTGTGTGTGTGTGTGTGTGTGTGTGTACTCCCAGGATACGAGTGTTGTTCTGCGCCCACACACTGAGAAGTTTCACAGCTGTGGTCAACAGTTTCTGGCGAAGAGTGTGTGAAGCAAACGTCCGCTGTGATTAATGATTTAATCTTTAACATTATATCTTTATTATAATTTTTTTATGTAACATTCATGTGAGAAATAATTCAGATGTCACACACTGTAAATGTAGAGGAGTCAGTAAAGTACCAGGAGTAAATGTCCTTTAACCGTCGCTCAAAGGCACACCAGCAGTAACGAGGCAACAATGTCTGTGAGACAGGAAGTCGTGTGTTAAATACAGATCCATCAGTGCTCTTTATGAGCCCCGCCTTTATGGGCCCCCCTGCAGGTGCACCTGCACTTGTTGGAGGCGGAGCTTCTTGTAACTTCTGAAATGAGTGTACCATGCAAATAAGTGCACTCACAAGTACAGCTGTGGTGTGTGTTGTCGTGACTGACCTGCTACCGGGATGTTCTGGGTGATTGACAGCTGGACGTCTCCTGTCCCAGGAGGCATGTCGACTACCAGGTAGTCCAACGAGCCCCAGTCCACCTACACACACACACACACACACACACACACACACACACACACACACACACACACACACACTGTTCGTCTCTACTCTAAGTTGAATTAGTTCAGCTTCACCTGAGCTGGACAGAGAAACACTCTGACCTGTCTGAGCAGCTTCTCTATCGCTGACATCACCATCAGCCCCCGCCACACGATCGGAGCCACATCCTCCACCAGGAAACCCATCGACATGCTGAGAGAAGAGGAGGAGGGTTTAAAGGTCAGAGGTCATGGAAAGGGAAAGATTAGTCTGAACAAGAACAGGAAGAGTGAGGAAGGAGGTGGACAGAAACAGTCGCTCACCAAGGAATCCCGTAGTTGGTAAGTGGGATCATCAGGTTGTCTGGAGACAGGCGAGAGTTCAGGTCAGCTGCATGTCACACCTTCATTAAATCTATCAACAACAAAATCAACGACTTCTCTGGAAACAGACATTAACAATGATCAGAGACGTTCATGAAGACGAACGTGAACTACGTGGCATACTGTCACTGAGCTCCGGGTTTCCCTTCAGGTTCATCAGTTTGGGGATCGACGGGCCGTAGACATCGGCGTCCAACAGACCGACTGACTTAGACTGAGAGACACAGAGAGACAAGAGTCGGCCATGTTTAACAAAGCTCTACGTCCTTTTTGTCCAACAGACAAGAAGTGGACAGCCTGTATCTGACAATTAGAGAAGCTATAACAGATATAGATACTATATAAGGTACAATAATTGTTATTATTATTTGAAGTTATTTCTGCTTCCCTGCTTGTTGAAGTCCTTCTGTTTTCCCAGTAAATATTATACACAGTGGCTCCTACTTATAATCCTTTGATTTCTTTTTCAATACTAAGTACGGCCCATCAATGACATGTGTCTTTTTATTCTATTTTATTGTATTGATGGCACCTCAGCTTTTCTGAATTGACTGATATTCTTTTTAATGTGTTTTTTTAATGTTAATCAAATGTTTTTATTCACCAGATGTAAAACACTTTGAACAGTCTTTCATATCATGTGTATTACTGATTTACATATACTGTGGTTTTGTCTTGTTTTTAGGTCACTTGACTCGTGTGTTTTGTTATTGGATCACTGTTTTTCTGATGTACCTTGGAGTTATACTAAAATCAAAAACACATGACTATAATTATGAATTAAAGAAACATATGATGAGAGAGAAGAGTCCTTACTGGATTGTTGGCCATTAATCCAAGAGCCAAATTCACTGCAGAGACAGACAGACAGATATGAATCATCTGTGACACCAGAGACATGGCTGAGCTTCAGCGCTGCACACAGTCACAGTTCATTCTGACAATCCTTCAAACACACGACATTTACCACAACATTCAAGGGGAAAACCTGAGAGAATCGTGAAGCTTTGGAAGAACAAAGATACTGAAAAGTTTGTGCTGTACCTGCAGTGGTGGACTTGCCCACTCCACCTTTTCCTGAAGCCACCACGATGACCTGTTTGACCCCTGTGATGGGCTTCTGCTTGGGAAGACCTCGGGCCATCTGCTGCTTCTGCCTCTCCTGTAACGCCTTACTGTCCACCGACCTCTGCAACACAACAACAACAACTAAATAAACAACATAAAGATAGAAAACAGTGACGTCTGCATGGTAAACCTGGATACTTTCAAATCCTAATTCAGTCTAACTGCTCTTACTTTATCATCTATTATGGAAATAAGGCCTTCTCTGCGTCAAATTAAAGAAAAAAAAAAACACTGAAACTCTTATATCCACACGGAGATTACTACTACTACTGTCGGTGCTGTTACACAATGTTGGTTTTTAAATATAATGATAATAATAATAATAATACATCATTTAGACCCCATTAGTCTAATGTACATGATGAGTTATTGGCTGGTATCAGTCTTTGCCCCGCAATCTATATAGATATGTGACTCTAATACTACAGTCAAGTACAGAAGAATGCAAACACACTTACGGTTTTATCGTTCAAAATAATATTCTTGGCATTCAAAAAAAAAAAAAAAAACCTCAAACACGTAGATACTACATTAACTGTGTGGAGTGGAGAACTAAATATTATCAAACAAGATAAAATACAAAATGTTTACAATCAAATATATTATAAATATGAATTATATGTTAAATATAACGATGTTTACAGTTATCGCTTTTACTTTGAATACAAATCTTACTTCCGGTCTTGTTCTTGGTTGACGCGAACATGAAGCTGTTAGCTAGTTTAGCTGTGTTGTGCTCAGAGAAACAGACGGTAATCTTACCTGGCAGCGCGTGAACTGCAAACAACACGCAGGCGCGTGTCCCATCTCTGTCCCTGTTCGTAAAACTGAAGGTTTATTCACGGATAGTCTCAGGAAATGGGAAACTCTGCTGTAAGTGGACTGAGCCATGTTTGGCTGTTCAGATGCTGCTTAGACCGACAGATTGCTGCGCATCAAATTTGCGCAAATTACGCATGAGTGTGGTGGGCGGGAATAATCCTCTCTGTAAGGGAATTAATAGAGAGTAACACATTTATACGCAGCCTGTGGCCATTTGTTCTCCTTCAAAACAATAATCACAGAGACAGCGCCTATTTCTTTCCAATAATGTCTAAATTCAAGTCAAAATTATTACTTTAAATGAAAACAACTACATTTTTTTTTATTTTTAAGTAAAATTATAAAATACAGTCAAAATTCTTACTTTTTAAGTGAAAATTATGAAATACAAAGTCTTTTTTTTTACTTTTATGCAAAATTAGAAAACACAAAGTGATTTGTTTTAACTTTTTTAGTAAAATTCATATGATACAAAATAAAACTTTGTAGTCTTTAAGCCAAAACTATGAGATACAAAGTCACATTCTTACTTTTTAAGCAAAATTATAAGATAAAAGATTAAGATTTTCAATTATTTCAGTTTTGGAGTATTGATTGGAAACGTAGTTTTATTACGTAACTATAATATGCGGAAATAATGCGCAGCCTTGAGCTTTTTTAAGTAATCTTAGATGATATTATTCCGGAATTGTGTTGCATGAGATGTCTTGTGGTTTTCCTTTCAGTCACATTCATAGCAGTCTTGTTGTGGTGTGCTTAAGCTAACCCTCTGAGACTGTGTCTGTTGTTCAGATCACTGGTTAATAAAGAGGACACAGGTAAACCCGGCCGTGATGACAGAGGGAGGCCGCGGCCCGGCCGCTCGGACGGTTCTTCAGCAGTGTCTGCGGGCCACACTGCAGGTGAGACCGGCTGATGGAGACACAGAGGCTCAGTTTGTCCAGGTGAGAACAGGTGTTATCTGATACTCTAAACCTTACAATGTGTGCATCAGCTGTACGTGAAGTGTTGACGTGATGAAGAGGATAATGATGAAGATTACTGAATGCTATAAAAAGAAAAATGCTGCATTTAACTCATCATTTTTTAAAATTATTTTCATATAATATGTGATGGTTTTAATTTTCTGTTGCTGCCCAGTTTGAAGCATTTTGTAACTTGAGTTTTGAAAAGTGATTTACAGATAAATCACTGTGGTTGAGAGGAGAGAGAAAGGAACAGCTGTATGTACTGTTGTATTCAGTGTTGTAGGTCAATGCACTTCAGTGGACAAACTACAGTAGATTAAAAACAATTAAGAAATCCACAGAATTGAAATCATTCAAAGAAAAACTCCTCAAAATCTGGATAAATCTTCAAAAATAGACCTGCAGTTTTAAATACTGGTTCAATGTCACTGGCTGTTTTTAGCTGATCTCAGGTTGAGATTCAGATAACTGATTATTGATTTATTTCTCAGTTCACAGTGTCACTCTGTTCAAACTAAAGGAAAGTCAAAGGACTGAGATTCAAGAGATCGAAAACTGATGAAAGATAACTGAGTCATCATCATTTACAGAATATAACATGAAATGGTCAAAACTGGACCTTTAACAAATGATTATTTCTGTTTTTGATGAAGATGGTATTTGTAATCGTTTGGTTATTATCTGTGAAATGACCGAGGTGACGTCTTTAAATGTTTCTTTCTGTCTGACAAACAGAAACATTCAGCTTCCATTGATGTAGTTTTTAGCTCTCTGAATAACTTCAAGTGATTTATTGATTATCAGTTGTTTTAATTGTTGAATGTCTGTTGATCAAGTAGTTGTTTCGGCCCTAATAAAATCATAATGCAGATATTCTCTGTGGACAAAACAATCAGTCTGGGTCAGTGGTAGTTACAGGTTTAAACATGGAGGCACGCTGACTGCTGATTGGTCCACAACATTAGTGACAGTGACGTTTTTTCTCAGATCGACAGAGGAATGGTGATCTACATCTGTTTCTTCAAAGGAGCCACAGATGACATCCTCCCTAAGATGGGTCAGTGACCTCTGTAACCTTTAACCTTTGACCTACACGTTTAAACTCCACCCAGCTCTGCACTCACTGTAAACCCATTACAAATGAAATCATCTTCCATCCAGTGTCCACTCTGTTGAACCTGCGGCTGTGTGAATCTGACTCGGGGAAGACGGTGTCGGTGCGGGAGCTTCCTGGCAGCCTGCTGATCGTCCCTCAGGCCACGTTGGGCGGGAAGGCCAAGGGTAGGGCCATGCAGTACCACAACAACATCAGCAAAGAGGACGGCCTGCGGCTCTATGGCGCCTTCGTTGCTTTGTGTGAGAAGGAGCTGATGGCTGCTTCTTCAGCCGGCAGCGAAGTGACGGTCAAACATGGGACATATGGAAACAGACAAGTGCTCAACCTGGACACCAATGGACCATACACACATCAGATGGAGTTCTGAAGCGCTGCGACAGCTGAAACTGAAACTGCTGTTTTCCTCAGACTGATATATTGATGTTTGATTGATATATTTTTGATTAAAAACTAATTACACAGATTTTGACTGTATCATTGTTTCTGTGCGACATTACGGTGGCCCTGAAGCTCAAACACTGCAGCTGAAAACAAATTCAGAAAATATCTTCATCAGTTTGACACGAGCTGCAGGTACTGGGGTTCACCTGATAGAGCGTGTAGCATGAAGGTGTAATACCAACTGCAGCGCCGTGGGTTTGAGTCTGACCCTAGGCCCTTGATCCTTGGCCCTGTAAACATTCAGGGCTTATCCCCAACTTAAAACTATATTCAGGGTAATTTATCTTATTCACAGCAGCTTCATGCAGCATTTACTGTATGGAGACATTTGTACTTCATCTGGAGAAAATGAGAGTTTCCAAGGAAAAACAAAATGATCCTGAGACGGCATCATGTTTTGAATCTAATTGTTCTCTGTCCCTGTCACTCTGAAACTACAACACAACAAATAAAAAAACCTCACCACCGATCATTGGTTCAGTTTTGATAAACACACTCTATCTATCTCTACTATCTTTTTTTGACAAATACAAATCTCTTCACCATAAGCAAATTCTTTTCACATAAATTCACAAACTTGAATTTCTGAAGCAGATTTATTTGGCCAGTTTACAGAAGTTGGTTTACAACTTTTAAACTTTGGAATTATCTGTAAACATTATTTTACAAGCTTAAAATCCCTTTGACCCTAACTGGAGCCCATACAGGTGTCGCTCAGGTATAGATGGAGTGTCAGATAGCTAGCCTGCAGTTGCTGGCTGGGCACATGGCCCTCTGGGGGCTAACCGCCTCCCACCCACTGGATATTTTCTATAATGTTGTATATGGAGAAGTGCTTGTTGTAGTTCCCTTTCTGCCACCCACCAAAAGAAAAATTATAAACAGTAAATGAGTGAATAAATGAGAAGTCATAATGATAAAGCTCATCCTGCTGAACAGCCTGTGTCAAATATATATAAATGAACTTTACCCTTTAAATTATTTAGTTCATATTGTGCATATAACACACTCCTTACTCTTACACCTGTAACAGAGGAGTTGGCCTTTGTTGCGCTTTATTTACACACTTTATTCCAATTAAACAAGTTCAGGCGCGCAAGACGACGTCATCAAACTGCGACTCGAATCACAGTGAAGACGTAATCTTTGTGAGACACTTTGTTGACACCATGTCGGCGGTGGATTTCAGAGGTAGCTAAATCAGTCTATTATTGTTTGTTAGAAAGTTGTTTCCGGTTCTTTCTTTTTTTTGCTGTAATGATATGAACAAGTCAAACATTAGCGTGTTATATTTAAATCCCTGAGCTAAAGCTGCTGTTTAAATTCAGTGTTGGCAGCTATTTGTTAGTGTTGACCTAGAAGCTAACGTTAGCCACGATTAGCATAGCCTCCGCTTTGATTAAACGTCCCACTCAGTTAAAGCTGTGTTCAGTGACAGGACCGTTACTGATACTGACGAACTATTAAACCTGATGGTCAGTAATCATTTATACTGTGGCAACACTAATGTAACAGTAGAACATTTTATTTTTACTCTGTCAAAAGCTACATACACTTAACACACTTCATCAGCACACATGAAAATATTCACTAATATTAAAAAAGTAAAAAGACAGTTAATCGAAACAGGTTGATTAAATGGTCATTTTTAAAAACGTAACTCTGATTGTGTGTGACATTAGTGCGTGGTGTAGTTAGTGTAAATTTACTAAAACTGATCAGTGCGTTTGATTATGTTACACTTGTGGTTCACAGACAACCTTCTGGGGATTTCCTGGGTGGACAGTGGCTGGGTGCCTATTCTCAATCCTGGAAATGTGCTGGACTATTTCTCTGAGAGGAGTAATCCCTTCTACGACCGCACCTGTAATAATGAGGTGGTGAAGATGCAGCGGCTCACTCTGGAACATCTGAAGTAAGTCCATCCTGCACACTTTGATTTGGTGTTACTTTACAGTAGGGGGGTGATCTGTGTGTACTGTATGAATTGTCAGGAAATAGCTTCTGTTACAGAAAATATAATAAATAATAACATATAAAACATAGATACTGTACATTAATTCATTTTCAGTACACAGCTGTAAAGTTGTTGTATTAAGTGACAGTTGTGAAACTAAAATCAAAAATCATTGATTCTCTCCCACTTCCAGTCAGATGGTGGGAGTGGAGTACATTCTTCTTCATGCTCAGGAGCCAATTCTTTATATAATCCGTAAACAACAGAGGCAGTCAGCAACACAAGGTGAGCAGCGCAGCCTCTGATTATGTACAGCATATCACTGACAACTGTTCTATGTATTTCATTTCTGTGTCAGAGTTAGATTTGTGAGTCTAAACTCAATACTGGCAATAAAATAAAAAAGTGTGTACATGCACACAGTTTTGGATTTTGGACTCTTTGAATATCTAATTTCCACTTCTGCTTCTCCAGTGATTCCTTTGGCTGACTACTACATCATCGCAGGAGTGGTGTATCAGGCCCCAGACCTGGGAACAGTGATCAGCTCCAGAGCGGTGAGGATTTATAATATGATCCTGTTTATTACAAAGGCTGAAGATGGAGGATGTTGGTGTGTGGGATTGAAAAGGTTTTTACTGTGGGTGACATGAGTCACATCTGTTTTAGCTTTCTGCCGTCCATGGAATCCAGTCAGCGTTCGATGAGGCCATGTCGTATTGCCGCTACCACCCATCCAAAGGATACTGGTGGCACTTCAAGGACCAGGAGGAGAGAGGTTAGGTTTTGGTAATTCATTCAGTTAGTTAGTGCTTTTATTAGTAACAAGATCACAGACATTAACAAGAACTAATGGAGTAAAAGGAGTACAAGCTATGATGCTCTAATGACACTTCACAATGTTTCAGTGTTTTACTTTGGCAATAACGGATTTAAAAAATCTTTCATTACAGAAAAAGCCAAGCCTAAGACAAAGAAGAAAGAGGAACCAAGTTCACTGTTTCAGAGGCACCGTGTGGACACACTCCTTCTGGACCTCAGGTCAAAGTTCCCGCCAACGTTTTACCAGGTACAGTTACACCACCTCAAAACAGCTGTTAATGTTAAACCACTTCGGTCCATTCATTTCAGTTTCGCTGAAATAAGAATTACTTCATGATAATGTGACGCGATCCAAGTAATAATATTCTGTTTTCTGCCATTTCAGCCAAAGCCTGGTGAGAAGCCTATTCCAGGTATGATTACGTCATGCTCAGAAGTTCCGTGATCAATGTGTGTGACATCAGCAGCTTAACACTGTAACAGATGTCAATAAGAGTCATCGCCTACTATTGATCTGATCCTGTCAGAAAACAACTCGCTCACGTTTGTCCAGATATTCAACAAACAAACAAACAAACAAACACAAAAACAGAAATTCAATCTGACATGAACAAAGATCACAGCATGAAACTAAATAAAGTCTACTACTATAAATAACATAAAACAAAGAGAAAGAAAGGAACTGGATAAAAACCCTCCAGGTTAGAGTCACTTAGTCTCCACAGCGGTCCTGATACTCTGGTTTGTCTGTGGTTTTATTATGTGCTTGTTGTGTGAATGTTAACACTCTGCCATGGGTCAACATACCATGGGCTGTGCTACTGGAATATTGGCTTAACTTTACAAGTGTGATTTAATACAAATATGACATCTAAAATGTAACGTGTTCCCCTTTTCCACCAAAATGATCAGGTAGAAGCAGGTTTTTTAAACGCGGGTAAACCTGCTAATAGAAGCTGATTGACTCCTTTTCCTCTGCCAGTTGAGTTTGTCTTTCAGTTCGGACTGAAGACACACACAACTGCATGAGTGCTGTCATCACCTGCACTTACAGAGCACACACACAAACGCAGGTGTGTTACAGCGCCTGTGCTGTAACACACCGGGTTTTGTGTTTACATCAATGCTGATCGGAGCCGTAGACGATAAAAACCTGTGTCTACTGAAGAGTCACATGACCTGGGTGTGATTGCTGATTGTACCCTTTTCCATGATGTCAGCAAGTCTTAGCGGGTTTTTTGACCAGTGGAAAAGGTTCTGTAGTATTCAGGTTTTATTGTAGATGGAGTGAAGATCACATGTTCCTCTTTTGCAGTGGAGGTGAAAAAGGAGCCTGAACCTCCCACAGAGGCGGTAAAACAAGAGGAGAGAGAACCAGCTACCAAGTCCTCCGCCCCAGCTCCACCCAGCAAACCTCCACCTGAGAAGAGAGCCAGGCTACAGTGACAGCAGCACTTCTCACACTCTGTGAAATGTCCGACAGCACCGAGAGGAAAACAGTTCAAGACTGCGAGTGTGTCTGCTCCTGGACCTGAAGCTGGTCTCTGCTGGTTCGCTCAGTTCACAGGATGCTAAGAATGAAAGGTGTGGCTTCAGAGCCATCACCACTTTCTCACTGTGACCTCATTCTGTACACTTGTAGGTTTGGCGTTGTGGACATTTCAGGCAACTGTTCTGCAAACAGGGGTTTTTATGATCAGCTGACATCAGTGTCGGTGTCAGCTTACTGTTGACATAATCATGATGGTTTTTTGTGACTTCAGAGGACAGTTTAACTCGCAGTCTGCTTCTCAGGGGGATGTGTCATAATGCATCATCACCAAGCTTCCTGACACATTGTTCTCTTTAATTACTGTCACTCATCTGTTTTTGAAAGAAAAACTCTGCTCTCTTGTTTTTGTATTAAACTGTCTCAGATATCATGTCCTGGTGTGTTTTATTGGATGACAGTTCGAAGTCTCAATGTATTTTCCTGCATCATTTACATCATTTATTGTCATTCTAACCAAGAAATTATGGCTCAAAGCATTTACTGGATTTTACATTTCATAGCTTTGTCATTACAATTATGCTCAAACCAAAATGTATGAACCACATCGTATTCATTGATCCACGGGCTGTTGATGGGGAGAGTCAGTCAGCTGTCATGTTGATAAGCCCTCTGCCCTCTTTGTAAATGACTACACCAATCAAACATGGTTTTTGTCCACAGTGGAAAGTAACTTTACACATCAACTGTGATGA